CGGGCGCGCCCCCCCCCCCCCCCCCCCCGCCGCGGCCGCTCCCGCCCGGCAGCCGCGGCCCCGGGCCCGCCGGGCACCGGCGGAGGCGGCATCGGGGGCCGTCTCCGCGCCCTCGGGCAGGGCCGGCTCCCGGGAGACCCGGGAGGAGGAGGAGGAGAGGCCATCGGGATCGTTCGTAAGCGCGGAGTGCGGCGGTGCTGGAGGAGCGGAAAGGTGCCCCCTTCCTTCTGGGGGAAGCAGGAAAGGGATTAAGGCTGCGGAGGGACGGGACGGCGCACCTGAGCATCGGGGAGAGGGGAGCAGTGTGTTTCCTCTCCCCTAGCCCAGCATCGCCGCGTCCCGCAGGCGGGAGGGGGCTGCGACCGCGGGGCTGTGATGGGGGGTGGGGGCGTAGCGGGGCTCCCCTTGGGCTGAGCAGGTGGGGATGTCTGAGACCTCGGTGTTTGTGTTGGCAGCGCTCGCAGAGACTCACACTGAGAAATCTTGGAGGCGAACAGCAGTGTAGTGGCATTGCCGTTCCTTGTACCTGCCCCTGCGTTCCCTACTGATCCATCTAGTTGTGCATATATACACTATGGGTACCTGCAGTGACCAGGGCTGGGCTTCTGTGGCCATACGTGGCTTTAAAGAGTCACATAGTTCTTAGTAAGCTTTTCTGGACTAAATAAACACGTAGTATAGCTTTGACGTTAGTACGTCTGCATGCCTAAAATTTTTCCGGTGTTTGCCATTATTTCTGCTATGAAATGGGATAAATACCTGCTGCTTTTGAAATGAATTACGATTTAAAAATGGATTTGTGCTGCAGTTTGCATGTGCGTTTTTAGAGGTTTTATTGCAAAGCCCCAGCTTGGCTTTTCTACATCGTGTACATCTACTTTGTGATCATAATGGGCCTGAAAGGCTGTGTGCTGTTCTCAGCTCACTTAGGGCTGTAGCTACATGAATTTTGTTCAGATGATGTATTTAAGAGATTATTAACATGTACACTGAGTATAGTTCAGTTTCTCAGAAATGTATCTGGAAGAATAGGTAATTTTTAAAATTTAATGTACTCCGGTGTAGACATAAGAAGTCTCACGATTTGAGTATAGGTGTCACAGCTTTTTCCTAATTGTTTTTATGTGTCGAGTAGAAAGGGCCCTTTATACTTAAAGATGTGTAAGCAGCATCTTTCAGGAACAGACCAAAGAGGAAGAAGAGGTGTTGCTGCTTATTTAATATTTTTGACTACATTTTAGACAGACTGTTGTTGTTGTTTTTTTCTTTGCTGAAGCAGGCTTTTTTGTTTTGGTCATGTGATTATGAAACAGACCAGAATTGGTGCAAACCCTAAAATTTCTCTTTCTTAGTTTAGTGACTGTTGTGCTTTGAGAATAAATTTTATATGCATGAGTATGATATCCATTATA